AGCACTTTGAGTGACAAAAGTTGTTTTTCAATTCCTTTCCTGCACGTTCTTTTGGTACCAGGGCTTCAGCTTCGGTATCCTTGCTAACATGCTTGCACAGCCATCTCTTCTTTGTGGTGGATGATACATACCTAGCTTATCCTGTGTTTGCTCACCCTGTTTCAGTCTCTCTTCCTTAAGTTCCTATTTCATGGCATCACCATAGTGGATTAAAGAACCGAGGGCTAGGAAGGAGGACTTATCTCCAGAATCAGCATCATTTCACTGCTTCCTCCAAACTGAGGGGCTCTCGTGTAATCAGCCTGCTCTTAAAGAGGTGACTCGTTTCCCTGACAACTGGCATTTTCTGCTGGCCAGCTTGTGTAAGAGGAAGCCCATCTTGTTGAGCTCATCTGGCAACCACAGCCACTCAGCTCCTGGGTCTGTTGTGTCAGCTCTGGGGTAGCTAAGGACACTGGCTGACTGACCATCAGGATGAATCATCTTCTGGTTCGTGAGTGTCTCCTCTATGGCAAACACTTTCTCGTGGGTGTTGACCTGGGCTGGTAGGACCCACGTAGCAGCCAACACAGATCGAGACCCCTCTAGTCTGGATCTCTTTGGTTCAATCTTCCGACATTAGTGGGCTTTTTATATTTTGCTTTTGTGGTGCTGCGGTCTGGGGCCTCACAGATGCCAGGCAAGTGTTTCACCACTGAGCTATACCCGGAGTGTTCCAAGTTTCACTAGACTTCCCAGGTGGGCCTGGGACACATTCCATAGTTCAGGCAGGTCTGAAGCTTGCGATTCTCCTGCCTCAGCTACCTGAGTGGCTGGGATTGTAGACCTTCACCACTGATCTCTGCTGCTTCTTTTCAGTCTCGACTGAAAAGCCTGCCAGGCATTCACTATTGCTCAAGAGACTGTGTATGAACTCCAAGTTGCTTTTCTTCCCTTGTGGAGGAACTAGCCAAGAGCTCTCACTGTAGCTGCATTCATTGCAAAGATTTCGCTTATCTGTTATCTTTTAAAGATATGGAGTCAGGAAGCAGCTGTCTACTTTTTGATGATTTTATTTTGTTTTGAGACAGGGTTTCATGTGTCAGGGCCTGACCTCAAACTTGCAATATAACTGAGAATGACCTTGAACTTTTGACCCTCCTGTCTTAACCTTGTAAGCACCGGGATTACAGGCTTGTGCCACTATATGTCCAATTTTATGCAGTGATGGAGATTGAACCCAGGGATTGTGCATATAGGCAAGCAGTCTACTGTGGGGTAGCTCCAGCACCTCCATTTTTGATTAATACCTAAAATTGCAGCACCCTTTCTGTGAAGTAGATTTGAGTTTTCTCTTCTTACTAAGAAAAGTTTTTTGGGGTGTGTGTGTGTGTGTTTGATGGGTGTGTAGGCACACAGTCATTTCATGGCGTGCATGTGGAGGTCAGAGGACAACTTTCAGGATTTGGTTCTCTCTTTCCACGTTGTGACTTCTCTAGATTGAACTCCTATCATCAGGCTTGTGCAACAGGCCATTTTATCTGCTAAGCAATCTCACTGGGCAGACTTTTTTTTCTTCTTTAATAGTAGTTTTTATTGGATAGTCTCCATCTCCCCCCGCTAGGCCATAGGTATGAGTGGAGGAAGAGGGTCTCAGTGCAGCGGAAGTGGGTAACAGGGGAGTCTTCTAGGTCAAATGTTTGTATCTTGGTGCTTTATGTACCTGTTTATGTTCAGTCTCAAATGTCCTGTTTCCACCATACAGTAGATTGTTGTTGTTGTCTTCATGGCTTGGTAGAACTGATAAAATACCCATAATGGGTAGGTACAGGTGTGTGCTAACTCCATGTATAGTTGATTAATGGTTTCTAGAACAAATTACCACAACTTTGGTGAGTTGAAACACTGCAACATGATCTCCTTGTTCTGGGAGTCAGAGTTTAAACTCATTACAACTGGGCTGAAATCAAGGTGTCACTAGGGCTACATTCCCCCTGAAAGCTCGTAGAGGAGAATCTGTTTCTGCCTTTTCTGGCTCCTGGTGGCAGCCAGTGTTCCTTGGCTTGGGGCTGCGTCACTCCAATCTCTGTTTCAAGGTCGCCGTATTCCTGTGTTAGGACCGTGACCAAAGCAACTTATAGAAGGAAGAATTTATTTAGGATTACAGTTCTAGAGGATTTAAGAGTCCATGATGACAAGTGGCAGGCATGTGACAGGAACAGAAGCTAAGAGCTCCCCTTTGGAACTGGAAGCTGGAAGGAGAAACAATGCCTTGGGAACGGCACCAGACTTTGAAACCACAAAGCCGGCACACAGTGACATACGTCCCTCAGCAACTCCTAAACCCACCCAAACAGTGCCACCAGCTGGGGACTACATGTTCATGCACCTGAGTCTATGGAGTACACGCTCATTCAAACCACCACACTCACTTTGTCTTCCCTTTTACATGTGTTAAATCTCCTGCAGCTTTTCTTATGTATAAGCTAGGTATGGTGGCACACACTTGTTTTTTTGTTTGTTTGTTTTGTTTTGTTTTTTTTTTTTTTTTTTGGTTTTTTTCGAGACAGGGTTTTTCTGTGTAGCTTTGCACTTTTCCTGGAACTCACTTGGTAGCCCAGGCTGGCCTCGAACTCACAGAGATCCGCCTGGCTCTGCCTCCCAAGTACTGAGATTAAAGGCAGGGGCCACCACCGCCCGGCTGACACACACTTGTAATCCCAGCACTTGGGAGGTTGAGGCAGGAGGATCACACATTGGAGGCCAGCTTGGGCTAAAAACTGATTTTTGTGCTCAATTTGGGCTATATAATAAGGCAAAATTTAAAAATGATACACAAGATTACATTTAGGACTCATGAGAATAATCCAGTAAAAATTTTCCATTTTTAGATCTATAGCTTAACCACTGCTTTGGTGTTCACCTGTAATCCCAGCACCAGGAACACATCTGTAAACCTCAGCTCTGGGGATGTGTGTGGTGGAGCACAGACAAATTCTATTACTTGATCACAGCTGTAAAATATCTTTGCCGCATAACGGAACATTTCTAGACACTAGGAGATTTAGAACATGGGTATCTTCTTGGATATATTTTTGGTAGGTAAAAGCCTATTAGACATGGTTGTGGTCAAGCCGTCACTCTCCACCAGAACCCTGTGGTATTCCAACATCTGCTTTCAGCTGCTGAGTTAGTCTCTCACACAGAGGCCAGATCTTGTTCTAGAACTTACAAGGCTGCTGCTCTCCTTTCATAGTCTCTAGAGATGTTGTACAGCATCCTTTTGTCCCACAGCTCTGGGTCGTGTGCCCGAGTGTCCTTCATAGTACAGACTGAACTTTCACTGAGTCTCAAACCTGACAGCCTTTCAAGTCATTAGATGGCTGGATCAAGTCCATCTCTTCTATCCAGTCTTGAGAATCCACCAAGCACTGTTCCTCCCCCAACGATTGCAATGCCAATGCACAACGCGCCCTTCACCTTAGGAGGAATGTTCTGTGTGTTCTAGACTACTCAAGTCCTAGAATTTTCTACCATGTGGCAAACCTCTAGATGGTCGCGGAAATTTTCTCCTATTCACTGGAATATTCAGTTATTATTTGAACTTGCTCTTTCCTATTTGCCAGGACCACTACCATATCCCCTATCTTTCATTCTTTTTTTGGCAGGGGGAGGGGTTTCGAGACTGGATTTCTCCAGGTAGCCCTGGCTGTCCTGGAACTCGCTTTGTAGACCAGGCTGGCCTCAAACTCACAAAGATTTGCCTGCCTCTGTCTCCTGAGTTCTGCCAGCTCCCTATCTTTCTAATAGGCAAACACTGATATTCTCTGGAGTCCAAAGAAGATAAAGGTCCCATAGGAAAGAGGGAGAAGGAGAAAGAGAGAAAGAGAAAGAGAGGGATTCCTTCTAGAGAAAAGTCAGCTGCTTTTGTTAGATCCTCTTTACTGATGGAGAGCTACAACACATCTGTCAGATCAGTAACCACATCTCAAGTGCCAGAGGATGTATTAAAAATCTCCACCCAGCATGGTAGTTATAGTCATGGTTACAACTCAGTTAATTTTATGGTAGCTCACCATAATTTTCCCAAGTCTGGTTTCTGTAGTGTCTAGATTTCATGGAGAGACACAGAAATTATGTTTGATGGTGTTCCCTCTGAGACGTGGTATTGCTTCTAATGTACTGTCTTGGCTTCTGTGGGGTTATGGAGCATCAAGGTTTACACTTGACCTTTTCTACAATAAAAGGTTGTAACTTCTCAGGTCAGGAAGCCAATGTGAAGGTTCTGGTGTCTGCTAAATGTATTTCCACCAATCTTTCCTCTCAGAAACTGAAGGACTAGCTGCAGGGAGGGTCGAGAACATGTTGAACCATTGTGAAATGGACTTGGGCTAGAAGTCCTTTCATTATTTGGCTTCTGTAATCCAAATTCATCATCTAGTTGAAGGTCCTTGTTGCTTAGAGTTTGATAACTCTAAGCATTAAATGATATCTATAAGCACTTACAGCAAGCAGCTCTTGGCATAGTGTGGGTGTTCAAAAGCAA